CCGGCCACGAGTCTGTGAGAGAATGTATTTAAAGGGTGTCCTGGTAATGAAAAATGTTGGAACTACCCTAAAATGCCATTTAGCCCCCACTATCACTGTTCTTTCATCCCTCTACTTGCAACATCTATGGAAAACTTACGTCCCGTTCCAACTGTCTCATGGTTTAAGACAATTAAATAATCCCATAGGACAGATCTCTCATGAGAATGGTTTGCTGCAGACTATCAAGCCTCCAGTTTCATTAGAGGAAAAAGTCAATTGTAACAAAAATCTTACTTTCCAACAAAGATCTCAGCATTTACAAATTAATTGTATTAAAGACTGCGGACCAATCTTCCTGGAAGTGACAAAAGCTTCTGTTCAAAATCTAAGACTCAAGAGATGCTTAAGGTGCCAGAAATTGAAGATTTCAAAATGCTGTTGAGTTGGTATTTCCAATTAACTAATTTCTCCAATTGGAAAAACCAGGGGATTAATCAAATTTTTGCCCTAGGACCTTTTGTGGGGTTGGTCACTCCTGTCTTCTAAAGCAATCACTCTCTATGAGTGTTGACCAGCCAACACACAAACACCCAAGTAGAGGACATCTGAAGAAACCTCTACCTGCAACTTCATGAAAGATAGCAAATTCAGTAAATTTTAGTCAGTTACCATAAAAGCCAACAACCTCAAGAGCCTTTTAAACTAGATGGCTTTCAAAGATGTAATTTCTCTGAAACTACACTTAAAATATTTATGTATAGACATGCATTTTTTTTTTTTTTTGGTCAGAATTCATTTTTGGTTAGATTCTCAAGAGATAACCACTACAGTAGCATAAAGAAACTTGTCTGCAAGATAGTGTTTCTCACATACTTCTCATTTGTGTTGGCCTTTGAAAACCCAAACCTTAAAACATTGTTATTTGAAATTTCTACATTTAAAGTAACAAATCGGGAGTACACTGAATACCCTTTTTCAAACTACATGTCAGTCCCAACACCCTCTGAAATGGAGATATACCTCCCCCCAAATGGAGGTACATCTTTTTTTTTGAAGACTGTCCAAAAGTAATCTCTATACCCAACATTGGGCTCAAACTTAAAACTCCAAGATCAAGGCACATGCTCCACTAAGCCAACCAGGTGCCCAAGGGGTACACCTCTTAAATGAGCACTGAAAGAATAAAACCAGATTAAGCTGCCACTTAAACATAAATCAAGTCTTCAGAATGTACATCACCCTGTAACCCCAGGAATGCACTATCCTCTACCCTAGTTTATAAAAAGCAGTGGTTGAGAAGTCAAAGGTGAATTTTTATTTTTTGCCATTCCACCAAAATTCGTTAAAATTCCACATCCAATTAAACTATTTTGAGACAAAAATACAAAACCCCAACTAACCCTAAAACAACCCATATTTTTATGACAGTATTTTCAAATGACTTCATAGAAAAGGTTAACAAAAAAATTGCAGTACACCTGCAGTGTCCTTGAATCACTTTTAATCAGTGAAACTTAGCATCCTGTGGTTGACATCCTAGCAAAAAGTCCTGGTAATGGGTAGTGATTAAATTTTCAGATATTAAAAATTAAGTATTAAAATTTACAATTAGCAAAAATCCAGTCCCTGTCACCATCAGGGAATGGAATAAAAGCTCTGCTTATCCACGTTAGTATCCCAACAGACATCTTAGTCTTAATCTTACATTAACTATGAGACTGCAGAGTAAGTTTCTATTATGAGTAACACCACACAGAACTCAGTCAAAACCATTCAGGAAGCACATTTAACAAGATACACAGGCTCAGATACACAGGACCTCAGAATCTCCACCCTCATGCCTCCAATTAATTTGTCAAATTACTTAGTTCTAAATGAATACTTCAGGATGACACCTTGGTAACTATCGTTCATCCAAATGAAGTCCTACAGCTTAGCCTTGCTATATTTAAAATTTACATCAGTTGGCACTCATAGAGCCTAAAATCTGAATTTAAAGTCCAAAGCCCTTTGGGAAAAAAAGAAAAATGCACTTACTTTCAGTTCTTCATACATCTCAGACAATAATCTCTAGATGTAGTGTATTTCTTCAAAGTCATATATATCAAGACTTGATTGAAAAGTTTGGATTTTGTTTAAAAAGCCTTTATTCATTTTTGATCAGGGAAAGGACAATCTCAATGTCAACTTCTCACCTAATCATAAATTTGAACAGGATTCACTGCCTTAGAAGACACTGCGCCTACAGATTTTGACAACAACTTAAAATGAAAATCTCCCTTGTTCCCTAAGGTTGCATGTTGAAATAATAAACAGTCCCTTGCAATAACCAACATTGGTACTTGGCCTAGGTTTAAGGTCAAATAGCAAAACAGGAGCAAAAGGAGGCCAAGTGCATTGTAACTTGATAGCCAGCAAGTACAAACATCATTCAACAAAGAAAGTTGCAGGCACCAAATAAACAAAAGGCAGGTTCAACAGCATAAAAAAATTTACATTTGGTTGAAGGTGAAGTGAACTACTCTGCATGTGAACACGTATGCCAATCCTAGAGGGTAATGTGGAACCACAGAACACAAAACTTCAAAACCTTAAATCCAATTACACTGAATGTAAAATTCAAAACTTGAGTTTACCCAAGAAATTCTCCCAAATCTAGGGCTAAAACTGCTTTCTGATGCACCAGGAAGATATTTTAATGACTTAGTCACTTAGATTTGCACTGACATACATAAAATTTAAAGTATACTTTTCCCTACTACTCCTTCCTATGTCCGAATCTGGGTATGCTTAACTACCCAGCTCATGCACTAATGCATTAAAAATGATGAAATCTACCACCATGACTTTTTCTAAGAACTCACATCACATTAACAGTTAACACCCAATATAGCTTCCTAAAAATGCCCCAATAGAAAACATTTTGTTCAGTTTGGTGCTTGCTGTGACAATACCAACAGAAGACAACTAATTCCCTCAGCCACTACTTCAAATACCTCAACCTAACTTTTGCTCCAATTTTAACCTCATACCTATCTGCCAAAATGCTTGTTAAAATTTAACTGTTTTAAACTGTAGCTCCTATACACAGTTTAACAGGGCCTTTTCCCTGGGTATATCTGGACATTTTAATCAAGAAAACAAAGTCATGGTATTATGATTAGCCAAAGCTCTTTCTAGCAGACCGCTGATTCTGATTTAGTGTATCTTTAATAAATGGCTTCCCAGAGACAGGAACAAAGCACAATCTTTTCTATTCATGAAAGGAGCTACCAACATGCTTTGTGCCAGAAAGGTGCACTTTTCCAAGACATAGTCCAGAAGATTCATGGTCTGCTAGAAAGCTTCCACTAATGACAACCCTAGGACAAGGTCTCCAGATATACAGAAAAGAAAGGTTAAAGGTGTGATAGAACCCTCATTTAGCAGGGAAACGAAGCCTTAGATAGTATACATCTAACAAAAATGGGGAACGGGGACACTGTAGCTGGCTATTCATAAAGGACCACAGTTTCTCCCTATGGACCAATACTCCCTACAAAATAAACTGTGCCTTAATTATTGCTTATTTTAAATTACACTTTTACAGAGCTATTTAGTACCTGACGCAGAAAAACAATCACATAAGGAAGCATTTATTTGAGGTTTAACATGGAATCATACAAATAAAATTTGTATAAACACAAATCCACATCGAGTCATAACACAGATAGCAAAAGACAAAGTAAAAACAAAGAAAACTAATTGGCAGCTATATACAGTTGGACACAGTTGTGTCTTGTACACTAGAAAGTCTTTTACAAAATAATCATCTTAGATCAACAGAAGACCAATCTTCAATGTCGTCCTGCAAGATGGGTTAACTTTAGCCATCTCCTCCTAAAAACAAAAACAAAATAGCAATTAGATTTGTGCAACTCTGAAAGCTTTCAAAGGTCCATTTTCATGAATTGTTTTAAGTCCTCAATTTATTCTTTTCTTCAATAATTAAAGATCACATGCATGTTCAATGGCAAAATGTAATTTGGATCATTAATAAATTCACCCTGGAGTTCCCAAATGATACTAAATTCAAATTTAGTTAAGGAATTGGGGAATGCAATCTTCCCATATTCACAGGTTGAACTGTGCTAGATTAAGGTCTACTAGAAATATCTCTAGTAAGCCAAAAAAACGCTCTTACAAAAATGGATTTCTAACAGGCTTATTATATTGTAAGACAACAAATTTCTGTGTGCATATGATCTTTAATTTATATCCCAGATTTTAAAGTTCTTGTTTTGGTTTGTAGATTTCACTATTAGCTATAAAAAGAAAAAGCAAGCATTAAATCTTAAAGAATGAACACTTAAAATGAGGCTCCACAATTGAAATACAACACTAAACAGAAGACCAAAATGATTAAGCTGTAAAAAGGCATTTATGTACTTTAACTCCTGTAAAAAACCATTTAAGTTAAGTTTAGACACTTAATCTTCAAAAAGATTAAAAAAGAAGCCAAAGTCTGAAGTTTTCCACTTTAATCTTTACGCTGGTACATGAAGTTGGAAGAGACCATACCACAGGACAGCGTTTTCTGGTGTATGCCTTGCGCTCTGCCCGCAACGTGCGACCCCCAGAGATAGACGTGGTCAGGGTGACACACGGCCTGCAATGAAGTTCCCGCTGGCGGGTACAAACAAGGTATAATGTCAGAGTTAGAAGACAACATTCTTGTTTTCCTTAAGTTGTACCCATTTCAGTACTTTACCTGTTAATAGTTCTAAAAAAGTTTAATTATTCCTCTAGACCACCTGGTACACAAAGCAAACAGAAAAACTCTTAAGTTTTTCTGTAGTACTAAAGAAAGTGAGATAAGACTTTAAAGTTAAAGATCTATAGACACTTTAGGCAAAACAGGCTCATAAAGCAATTAAAAAGTTAACAATTTAGTAAAAACAGACTACGTAATATTGTTTTTACTTATTTTTCATTTGTCTATTGATCTTTAAATTAAATTAGACATTTCCACTGGTTTCTTGTACTCGTACACACACCTGTTTTCTCCAACGTCCTCCTTTAGTATGGCTGGTAATTGTTTTGGTGATTGCCACCCCCTCGAGACGCCTTGCCATAAGTGCTCTGTTGGCCTAGTTTGGAAACACACAAAAATTATATTAAGATAGTTTTCTACAAAATGGTTCCATTATAAGTACTTTATAAAGCTATTAAACATGTACAACTCTGCATGCCAAATGTTAAAATTATCAGATATCTTAAATAGGCATTATAAACTAGTCATGTATCACATATTCTAGAACATTTCTAACCACCCAAGTTTTTACATTAGTATAATCACCCGGTAACTATCAAATGCCTAAAAGCTTAACTCCAACACTTCAAGAATGGAAAACCCACACACAAACAATTTCAGAATGGGATTGTACTTTTAACATGGAATTTTAATACCATTGGTTTATGAAATTAAGTTAAATATTCTTACCACTGTAGTCTGCATATCCCTGTCCATATCCATAGTTCCCATAGTTATACCCAGTATAATCATAGCCGCCATAGCCACTATAGTTTTGATCACC